CCTGGCTAATAGCCACACATGGACCTATCATCCATGAATTTATTTAGCTCTTTTTTTAACCCTGTTATAGTCTTGACCTTTATAACATCCTCAGTCAAGGAGTTCCACCGGATGACTGTGCACTGTGTGAAAAAAAATCTTCCGGTTATGATATGAGACGTAGTAAACAACACTTCCTTATGTACTTTCTCCATACTAGTCATGATTTTATAGACCTCAATCATATCTCCCCTTAGTCGTCTCTTTTCCAAACTGAAAAGTCGCCGTCTTATTAATCTCTCCTCATACGGAAGCTGTTCCATACCCTCTTAATTTTTGTTGCCCTTTGCTGCCCTTTTCTGAATGTGCATTATGTTGCATTTCATGTGCCATTTGGTTGCTCAGTCACCCAGTTTTGAGAGACTGGCTCCAGCCCCTCCCATGGACCCCACTTCCCTCCCAGCAGAACCCAGGCATCTTGGTTCCCAGCCAGTCCCTGCTCCAAGCCCCCGGACCCTACTCCCCAAACAGCAGAACCCAGGTGTCCTGGCATTCTCTCACATGGGGGAGGGGAGGCTGCTACCTGACTTTATTCTGCTAGAAAGAATGGAGGTGTTAGGGCTCCTCACTGTAACAGTTATAAGAATTTTTCAACATGGGCAACACATCTTCTCTTGTCACTTCCTTAAAGTAGTCAGCTGAAATGTTAAGCCTCAGATTTTCAGACAGAAGCAGACACCCAGTGTGGGAAATTTCAGTCCAAACTCTTAAAGTTTGTCAAACTTATAAACAACTGAAAATGAGGTCTCCTAATTGAAATTGTCAGACCGCCTCAACTAAAGGTGATGCCACCAGCAGCACTTACTCCGGCCAATCCATTTGTGAATCCTATTCAGCTCTTGGGTCCAATTATGTCTATGGCAAGGAGTTCCACGGTCCAAATACGTATAATATATAAAAATAATTTATCAGTGTTATATATTCAGACTTCCAATGTAGTTGGATTTTCCATTGAGTGTGTGTTGTGAGACGCAGTAAATATAAATACCTGATCTATTTTGTTTATTGATATATTCATGGGCTTTAAGGTGAGAAGGGACAATTAGATCATCCTCCTATAATACAGGCCATTAAATTTCACCCCGTTGTCCCTGTATTGAACTCCATCATTTGTGTTTGACTAAGACCTGGTCCACAGTAGGATTTTACATTGTAGAAACATACAGCCCCAGGGTGAGAAGGAAATGCAATGGTTAGCAAGTCTGAGCCCATGCTAAGATGCAGGATGTGTTGAGTCTAAACCATCCCAGACAGATGGCTATCCACCCTCCTCTGCAACATTTCTATTAAAGGAGGTTCCATAACCTCCAGAATCGTCTGTTTCATTGTCCTTCTTTTCTTACAATTAGGAAGATTTTCCTGAGAAATGAAACCATTGCCTCTTCTCCTGCACCATGCAGCAAGAGACAACAGCTTTCCTCAATCTTTCTTATGGCAGCTTTTGAAGTATTTAAAGATCAGTATTGTATCCTCCACAATCTCCTCTTTTCCAAACTAAGCACTCCCGGTTACTTCAGCTTGTTCATATGGCTTGCATTCCATCCCTTGGAACATCTTTCTCAATAGCCTCTGGACCATTTACAGATTCTCTACATCCTTTCTATACAGCAGTATCCAAAATTGGATAAAGTGTTCCAACTGAGGCATAAGCAGAGCTGAATAGAGCTAAATGAGACTTTCACGCTATACCTCCGCTAATACAACCTAACATTGCATTTGCCTTTTCTGAAACAGCAAGAAAAATCCAACCCCCTGAAAGATGTAGCTATATCGACCTAACCCCCATGTGGACAGCCTGGGGTTGATGGACAAATTCTTCCATTAACCTTGCTATCACATCTCAGGGAGGTGGGTTACCAATGCTGATGGGAGAACCCCTGCCGTTGGTGTAAGTACTATCTACACTGAAGTGTTACGGCAGCGCCACTGCAGCAATTCAAGTGTAGACAAGTCCTCAAGTAGATCTCCCAGAAAAGCATCCAGTCTGGATCTGCAGACATGGGGAGTTGAAGAATCCACCTCTTCTCTTCACAGTTTGTCCCAATGGTTAATCACCCTCAGTGCTAAACATTTGGCCCTTATTTCCAAATGGAATTTGTCTGGCTTCAGCTTTCACCATTGGACCTTGCTCTGCCTTTCTCCGCTAGATTGCAGAGCCGGTTATTACTATTTAAGATAAATAGATGAAGCTCCTTAAGTCTCTCAGTATCCAGCATTTTCTGTGGCTTCCAATTATTTATGTGGCTCTTTCCTGCACCTTCTCCATTTTTTTCAACATCTTTTTATAAATGTGAATCCCCGGTCTGGACAGTCAGTTTTCACCAATGCCATGTGCCGAGGTAAAATCCTTCCACTGCTCCAACTCACCACTCCCCTGTTTATACATCCAAGGATCGCATCAGCCCTTTTGGCCACAGCCTGAAACTGGCAGCTCCACAGTAACTCTTAAATCCTTTTCCGTGTCTTTTTGTTCCATAATATAGTGCCCTAACCTGAGTGTCAGGCCCGCATTCCCTGTTCCAAGAAGCTAACTTTGCATGAGACCGTATTAGAACGTTTTGTTTGCATGGGCACAGCTCACCAAATGTTCCTGACCAATTTCTATGCCTTCCTTAAGCTCCTCATTGTAACCACTCTGCCAATCTTTGGGTCATCCACAATTTTATCTGCAGTGATTTTCTATTTGCTTCCAGATCATTGATTAAAATATTGAAAAGCATCAGGCCTAGAACTGATCCCTGCAGAACCCCCACTAGAAATACCTTCATTCACTGACAGTGGCCAATTGACAACTGCTTTCTGAGATCTGTCAGTTAGCCAGTTTTTAGTCCATTTAACATGTGCTCCACTGGTTTTGTAGAGTGTTCATTATTTTCCCCTATACAATCAAATGCCTCAGAAAAAAATCAATGTCTATTGCATCTGTACAGTTCCCTTGATCAGCCAAACGTGTACTCTCATTAAGGGATGAAATCAGATTTATTTCACAAGACGGTTTTCCATACATCATGTTGTTGACAGCATTAATTATATTCCAAACTTTTTTTGAACTAATCGAATATCAGCTTTTCCATTATTTCCTGACCGAGTCAAATCTTTTTTCTCAACATTACCTTTATTTTTTATAATTTACGTTTAACAGAGAACTATCCTGCATTTTTCTTTCTTTCTTTTCACTGCCTCTGCTGCCTGATTGCGGACCTCTGGCCCACAATGAGATGTGTGATTGATTGGTCAGTTTTTAACTCTGGTGTTCGACGGTTGATGCTAATGGACTGGAAAGTATTTCATCTCCTAATATGAGCTTCTTTCCAAATGCAGAACAAAACTATTTCTTGAATACATCAACCTTTTCTCCAACAGAATCATCCTAAACATTTTTTAGGATTTCTTTCATTCATCATATACTTAATAACCTCCTTTTTCTGATACTTATCTCCACCAACCATAATATTTCCATGATATTTTTAACGTCCCTCATTAATTTTCATAACTTCAAATTTGTATTATTTCCCATCTATTTTCCCTTTTCCCCTTTTGTTATATATTACTTCCCCTGCACAATTTCTGCTTTCTATCTAATAAACTCTTCTTAAACAACTCCCAATTTTCATTCACATTTTCCTGTCTAAATTTTTCCTCCCAATCAATTCTGCTGATAATTTGTCTCAGCGTTTTGGATTTAGCCGTTTTGAAGTACAAAGTGTCTGCAGATATTACCATTAGGGAACTTGCTCTCTTTGTCCATTTCAGTGTAAAAATTTCAGTTCTATATTGTCCTCTCCTCTATCATATCTCCCTTCTTTGGCTCTTCTCCAAACTAAATAGTACTCAACCTTTCACACTGTCCACATAGAATAGGCTACCCCATTCCGATAGCGTGTCCCAGAAACCCCTTCTATATCAGCTGTATCCTTTATGGACACTGGGTGACGAAAACTGAGAGCATCTCAAGAGCAGGTTATTCTCCATCCCATCCCTAATGTATACCAAGATTGTCTTTGTTTTGGCCACTGTTGCAAATCAGGAGGTGTTTCCATGGAACTGCTCTAAATGACACTGTGATCTTTTCCCTGAGGTCTATTCTAGTTGGGATGTGCCTCCCGCCACATGTCTTGGCAAAGGTTTGCTTTTTGACTACACTCAGATTTTGAGTCACCGGGTGAATGCGGAATTCCCTACAGCATGCACTTTCTAGCCTGGCTTTCATTGCATTAAGGAACAATAATGGATAACCAGGAGCCATACTCATTTTTTCATGCTGGTGCCTATTAATATTTCCCACGTCAGAACACATTATTGATACAAGGAGCAAAATAAAATATGGAATTGGCATTAGTGGGGTCATTTGTTCATAATTAATATCTCTGAATAATAACAATGTCATTTTTCAGTGTGTGAAGAGTGACCAATCTGCTTCACCCATGAGAACAGCCTCCAGTAGAGCACGTAGTGTCTCATATTAATATTGTCTCTCCATCCAGGCATTTGTACTGTGACCATCACCCTAGACTGTGGGCACATACAGGAATTCAGTGAAACGTACGGTACATGCAGGAGACACAGTTCTGCCTCAGAGTTGGACACCTTCTCCATACTCCATGTCAGATTCCAACAAAACCGACTTCACCAACCCCTCCACCTTCATCCTGCTGGGCATTCCTGGCCTGGAGGCAGCTCATTTCTGGATCTCCATCCCCTTCTGTGCCATGTACGTCATAGCCATCTTGGGGAACTTCACCATCCTGTTCATCGTGAAGAGGGAGCCGAGCCTCCACAGGCCCATGTACTATTTCCTCTGCATGCTGGCCATCAATGACCTGGTCGTGTCTACATCCATTCTGCCCAAAATGCTGGCAATCTTCTGGTTCAATTCTAGGGAGATCAGTTTCAGTGCCTGCCTCACCCAGCTGTATGTCTTTCACTGCTTTTCAGTGACAGAGTCTGGGATCTTCGTGGCTATGGCCCTAGATCGTTACGTGGCCATCTGTGATCCCCTGAGACATGCATCCACACTAACAAATGCCAGGGTGGCAAAGATTGGTCTGACCATAGTACTGCGCGGCGGCATACTCGTATTGCCCTATCCCTTCCTGTTGAGGCAGTGGCCATATTGCAAAACCAACATCATCCCCCAGCCGTACTGCGCCCACATGGCCATGGTGAAGCTGGCCTGTTCCGACACCCGTGTCAGTAGTTACTATGGCCTCTTTGTACTATTGTGTGTTAAGTGTCTGGATGTGATTTTTATTGTTGTGTCCTATACCCAGATCCTCAGGGCCATCTTCAGCCTCTCCACAAAGGATGCCCGTCTCAAGACTTTTGGGACTTGCACCTCACACCTCTGTGCCATCTTAGTCTTTTACATCCCAGGTCTGTTCTTGTCTCTTGCTGACCGGTTTAACCAGAATGTGCCCCTGCATTTCCATGTTCTCATTGCCAACGTGTACTACTTGATGCCTCCCATGCTAAACCCCATCATCTATGGGGTGAGGACCAAACACATCCAGGGCAGGCTGTTCTGGCTCTTTACTCATAAATGTACTTAACGTTTTCTCCTGATCCGCTGACTCTCTGACCGAGTCCGTGAAGTGCTGGCTATTGACATGGTGCTTGGCTCTCTTCCCTGAATCACTTACTAGGCAGTCAGGGATACACTAAATCCTTTCCTGACCTTACTGTGCATTGTCAGCTGGGGAATCGGTCTGGGTAGAACTCGTTAACTCATAGAGTTTTCCACCTTTCTAATTTCTGGTAACTGGATCCCTGAGGTGCCTGCGCCCTCTCTTGCTATTCCCTCAAGGCTACCTCTTCTCTGAGGCCGGGACAGGATGTGCTAGAGCCTGGCAAGGAGCTTGCAGTGAGTGCAGTGAGGACTCAGCTGTGGGGCCCACAGGCCACTCAGGAGCAGAGAGAGAAGCCAGGAAGCCACAGAGAAATAGCTGAGGCTTGGGAGCAGAGTTGTGAGGCAGGCAGGTAAGGGTGTGCATCATGCAGCTGTTGAGCCCTAAAGCTCAACTATAAATACCTGGGGGCAGAGACCTTTGTCTGCCTTATTTCTTTAGCTTTCAGCTCCCTTTGTTCCTCCCTTCTAGGGGCCTGTAGGAGGCAGGGTGCCTACAATGGGGATGGGCTGGGATTTCTTTGACCTGAGCCATGCCTCAAGGCCAGGGTAAGGGATCAGGTTTGAAGCTAGGAGGATAACAGCTGAGAGAGGTGTAAGGATAAACCTCTGTGTTAGCTGGGTAGTTGGGATATTGGGCAGAGGCTGGAATGTTTTTGGTAGCTCACAAGGAGGAAGATAAACAGTACACCAGTGGCTCTCGAACTTTTTTATTGGTGACCCCTTTCATATAGCAAACCTCTGAGTGTGACCCCCTTTATAAATTAAAAACACTTTTTAATATATTTAACCCCATTATAAATGCTGGAGGCAAAGCGGGGTTTGGGGTGGAGGCAGACAGCTCACGACCCCCAATGTAATAACCTCATGACCCCTTGAGGGGTCCCAACCCCCAGTTTGAGAACCCCTGCAGTACACCTTCCATTAGCTGGATATTTACACACGTACATGGCACTGTAGCCTTTTATTTAAAGTAAATTTTGTAATGTGGTGTAAGTTCATCATGGCTTCAGCTCTGGCAGCTACAGTTTCAAGCTTAACAGAGTGAAAGTTTCTTCTGTTATTTGTATCAAATGTAGAGTCTCTAGGAACACACAAAGACCAAAGGTAGTGACCAGGTATACATTTCCCACTCCAAAGTTTAATCATTTTATTAAAAGTTACAATTGAAGTTATGGTTACCAAGCATCTAGAAATACTATACAGACCTATGCACAAGTTTCAAATATCGTTATACTCCCATCCTTGACAATAGTGTCAGGGTCTGATGGGTCTCTCATGGCTTGATCATCACTAGAGGGATGGTTCCTGTTGGAATCTCCAAGAGGGAGCTTAGTTTTCCCATTGTGGGCATCCCCCTTGTATATTGTGATTCTGTCTACAGCTCCATTCTGCACGTGTCCATAAAAGTGGCCACCCCATTTTCTCTTATTGATCTATGTCCCCAAGAAAATTAAGGGACCCCAATTTTCTATAGACTGGGTAAGTTATCTTTATTCTCATAAGCATTGATGCACAACCTGTATCCCATGATTAAGACACATGCCTGAGACAGATGCACCTCTATGGTATTTTTATGATCTAATATTAATCTTCTAGGTCACATGAGCATATCACACGTCCTTACATACTTTGATGACACACAGGGGCAGCCACTGACCATATTCTTGCTGAGATGTGATTCTTCTATATACCATTGAGAGAGCTAAGTGTCCTTGAAGGGCCATCAACACATAGCTCTTTGGCCTTAATGTAAAATCTACCAGAGGGCTTTTATGCAAGACTTAAACATGTGTAAAGGATTCCAAGACCATGGGCAATATTCATAACTTCAATCAAATTTGTTCTCACCTAAAAGGCATGAATTGTAGTCCGCATTTTAACTCTTTTTTGACGGAATCCCCTAGGCGCATTTCCATTATTATGCCCAAGACTGGTGTCAAGCTAACCGGCATTTAATACCCAAATCATCCCTTTTTGAAAATGGCATAACATTAGTGCTCTATCAGTCCTCTGGGATATCCCTAGTGTTCCAATATTTATTAAAAATTAAAATCAGTGAGGCAGAGATCTCCTCAGACAACTCTTTTAGGACTCTTTGGCTGCAAAATATCTGGGGCTGCTGATTTAAAGATATCATTCCCTAGTAGGTGCTGTTTACCATCCTCCATAGTTGCCAGTGGACTGGAAAGAGGTTCACGTGATCTGAGTGCATCATCCTGCTTCTTTCCAGATAAAATACAGAAAGGTTTATTGAACATATTTGCCCTTTCTGCATCCTTATTAACAGTTACCGTTGCGTCTGACGAAGTGGGTATTCACCCACGAAAGCTTATGCTCCAATACGTCTGTTAGTCTTTAAGGTGCCACAGGACTCTTTGTCACTAGTTACCATTGTGGCACTTTGCACCACGTAGTCACCATAGTAATATGATTATGGTGTCATTATGATATAATTATGTGGCTTCTTGTGCAAAGTATATCTTGTGAGGGATCCTTTTAAAGTCTTGATTTGTTGACCTTTAATATTACGTTGGATTGTATGTGTTATCTGTTGGGGTATGTAAGGGTTAAGTAAATACCTGAGTAACCATTACCATGGTAACAGGTAAGTATGGTGCAGGAGAAGTGTTAGGATATAGATATTCAGGCCTGTCTGTTAAGGCCTATACTTTAAGAATTCAGGTGTATTCCTATCACTTAGCTAGTTATAGAGGTAGAAAAGAAAGAATCAAAATCACTGTCTGCCAGTGTAAGGGCCTTTTCTCCCTGTGACAGTCTGAGGCCCTGTTCTTAGGCTAAGGCCTATCGCTAAGCAGCAGAGGCAGCCATAAACTGGGAAGTGAACGGTCACATCCTCACATTCCAAACTAGTCACATGGAAATAAGGTGCTATTGGGCTGTTAGGAACACAATCCTGTCCTGATATTCCTATCACCTCCAGAGAAAGGGAAGAGCCTAGAAGATGTAAAAGGAAACTTAGTCTGATAGCATCCTGCCTGGCAAGAACTCACTTATCAATAGCTGGGATGTGAAATCCTCATTTCTGTATTGTTCTATCACTGTAGTCTCCACTTCCCTGATGTTTGTCTGTATAATCTCTGTCTGGTTGTGTGATTGTTTCTGTCTGATGTATAATTAATTTTGTTGGGTGTAAACCAATTAAGGTGGTGGGATATAATTGGTTAAATAACCGTGTTACAATGTGTTAGGATTGGTTAGTTAAATTTCAGTAAAATGATGGGTTAAGATATAGCTAAGCAGAACTCAAGTTTTACTATATAGTCTGCAGTCAATCAGGAAGTAAGGGGGGAATGGGAACAAGGAATGGGGGAATTGGAATCATGTTTCACTGAGGGGGGGAATGGGAACAGGGACTGGGAACAGGGACACAGGCAAGGCTCTGTGGTGTCAGAGCTGGGAAGGGGGAAACTGAGGAAGGAAACTGGAATCATGCTTGCTGGAAGATCACCCCAATAAACATCGAATTGTTTGCACCTTTGGACTTCAGGTCTTGTTGCTCTCTGTTCATGGGAGAAGGACCAGGGAAGCCTGAGGGTGAAGGAATAAGCCCCCTAACAGCGAGCACTATCCCTTGCTTGATAGATAAAATTTACTACCCGTCCACCCCCTTTTCACTTGTTAAGGATAGATAAGTGTTGCCGCTGCATAAGAAATGTAGTTGTCTAAGGAATACCTGTTGTGTGAAGTAGTGTTATCCCTCCTCTCCCTTCTTTTTCCCAGCTGCATAAATGTGTTCAGGGTCCTGGCTCCTTCCCCCCTGTAAATTGCTGATTAAGGGAAGCTGTGGTTACAATTGTTGTAAAGAAACATGTGTTTAAGGTAAAAGCACCTGCACAATATGCTTAATGCTGTAAACAGTAAACAGGGGCGGGTATAATTGTATTCATGATATGGCTATTACTAAATAAGCATTTTGGGGGTGTTGTAGCCAATGTGTGTATTTACATATTAACTTAAATGAAAGAGTGTAATGTTATTAACCTTGTGCTCACTCGACAATTGGGTCGAGGGGATCAAGTACTGCAATAAAGAAGTCCATTTACTCAATCCGCCTCTGGGGACTCCAGTTCCTTCTTTCCATCTCTAACATCTGGCATCACGAAGAGGATCCCAGGGGAGAGTTGTGCCTGATCACCACGTCTCACCATGGATTCAATGAGGAAGTTGAATGGGCCCTTTACTGTAACCCCGGTTAAGGAGTTCATTAACAGGTTGGTGGGGAAATGGGGGGGGGTCCTTATGCACTCCCCCAGAGATTGTCAGGACTGGCAGGACATCCAGGGGTGGGTGGAAGCCTCCCTGATGTAGAGGTGTTCCCAGGATAATAAAAAGGCTGTTTTGTTGCAGGCTTTGTGTGAGGGTCTGTCAGGTTTATGGGACGAGGTAAAGTGGAAACCTTGTAGCAGATTGCCGAGGAAGAGCACACAGTAAATCATCCCAGTGTGCTGGCAGTCAGAACGGCTGGAAATTGTATGGACAATATTTAATCGCCTTAAGTCAGAGAACCTGGTCCTGAAGGGTCAAGTAGACACCTTAAAGCAAAATTCTTGTTCCCTGGCCCCTATTTACCCACCCATCCCTTCCCATAGGCTGCCAGTAACCTTTCAAGTTTGGTGCTGCTTCACCAAGGACTGCTGAAGGGTTCTAAATCAGAGTTAGGGGGGATTAAAGATAATTTGGCACAACAGGGTCAAAAGTAAAAGACAGGAGCTGGGGAGTGAAAGACTCTTAGAGTGAAGTAAAACAAAGTTTCAAACTGAAAAACAGCAGGTGCAGGTAAGGACCCCCATTCTCCACCTAGAGCTAGGATGAGAACATAGGGGTAAGGGTTCCCAACTGTTTCAACCCAGGGAGCCCTACTCTTGGCTCAGAGCTATCTATATCCTTTTCTTGTTTTCCTTC